GAAGTAAGTCAGATAAACACGTTTGAATGTTGCATAGTTCTGCTTTATATGAGGAACCCAAAATATATATAAAGAACAAAATCAAGGCTAGATGATGGGAGCCAGCCAGCCAGGCCCTTTGTGTGTGGGAAGGAGACCGAGAAACGCAGGGAGAGGAGACGGGTGAGAGAGGAGAGTGCGGAGATGTGCGTGCACCTGCACAGTGCCTCGCCAGGGGTGCAGTCACTGTTTACCACAAACAGGCGCCAGTGAAAATAAAAGGGAATGGGACCCAGAGAAGGAGACAAAGGGGAGTGAAGGGAAAAGAAGAAAGATAAGGGCGAGAAAAGAATCAGGGTGTGCAGCGTGCATGTACTAGCTCTCCTCGGGAATACAACCATCGTGTGCTGTGGACGTGGGTTAGTACAAGTAACAATTTTAAGAAATGCTGCAACAACGTACACCTTAAAAATGTTAAGATAAATTGAATTTTACCCAAATAAAGCTGTATATAGAATTAAACAGTAAAGAATTTAGTGAGATTATAAAACTAGAAGACAAGTGCAATTCTATAAAGTGCGTGGTAACAATTCTTGAAAACTTAGGGCATACCAGGGGCTTCCTCAGCTCGGTTTTGAAGTTGGCTGCAGTCTGGGTCAGTGCAGAACAACAGGACAGCCAGCAAAGTGTCCAGAACAAAGGCAGGAGACCTCTGTGTGGAAGTCCAAGGCAGGCCTGGCCTCCACCTAGGCCACTTTGCCTAGACAGATGGGCCAGGTTGAGAATGTTCCGGAGCTTGAGTGAAAGTCCACGGCCAGACTTTGGAGGCCTTCAGTTTTCAGACAGATTTATAATTGGTCTATTAGGCAACGAGGAGCCACTGAAGAGGGAGCAACGTGATGAAAGAGGCGTTTGGAGACGGGGATTCTGGCCACGCCGTCTGTGAGTGCTGGGAGACAGGAAGCCCAGAGAAGGGGCCGCCACACTGCTCGGGCTTGGGATGATGGAGGCGGAACCAGGGTCACAGCAACGTGCCATGCTGACTTGAAAAGTGACGGTAAAAAGCGACAAGGAATGATCTCATCTGTTCAAGTTCATACGTGCGCGTGCAGAAATGATACGGGCTGGTGTGAAGGGCCATGGCATGCGCCACCCTAAGACAGTGAGGAGGCAAAGCCAGGCTGAGAAGAAGCCTGTTGGCTTTGTAATCTGATGATTCTGGATTCCGCATTCTGCCCTAGACTTATTGTACTGTAACCAATGGCACCAAATCCAAGATCAGGTAGAATGGGGTGAGGAGCCTGAGAGTTTCAAAGGCGTGATCATTTTAGTGGTTACAACTAGAAAAAGAGAAAACTAGCTCGTAGGCCAAAAGATTGTTATGACGGTGGTAAAACCTAGTACTTTAGTGCTAGATTCAATTTACGCCTAGCTTTAGTTTTCACCTCTCCAAAACAGGGAAGCTCAGCCACGCCAGGGCTTTCCAGACTGTCTCCTAGTTATTCTGGGCTATTTCTCAGGTGAGACCCACCCATTGGGGAGCTGAAGTACCGCCACTCACCAACCGAAGTAGCTCTTCTGTTTTAGAGTTTTGATTTCATAGAAACATTGCAACTAACAAGAGTTCTGAGGAATTGATTTTATTTTATTGTTATTTTTGTATTTTAGGGAAGGGTCTACAGGGTGTTCAGGGTCTCACTACTAGATCAGACTCGTCATGATCTGCCTGTTTACAGTCTCCCAAGAGTTAGGATTACAGGCATGTGCCACCATGCCCAGTCTCAACTGCCATCTCAGTGCGCCCTGGGGGGGGCATGGCAGGCCTAGGGATCGAACCCCTGGCTCCTGCACCTGCTTGCAGGTGCTTTAATCCACTAAGCTATTTGGCTGGCCCTCTGAGGCATTAATTTAAAAAAAAGCAATTAGACTATAGGATCTTTTAAATTACTCCTACCTCTAAATTTAACTACAGTGACTTTAATTTTGTTTATCCTTTTTTTGGGAGAATTTCTATTAAAATATGATTTAATATATTTTACTAGTTAACTTAGGAGATTGAAAGATTTCTTTTTTTCTTTTTTTTTTTTTTTAGTACAAGGTCTAGAGTCTCACTAGGTAGATCCAACTTGTAGTGATCCTCCTGTTTATAGCCTCCCAACTGCTGGGATTACAGGTGTACCATCATGCCAGTCTTAATCATAGTCTCAGCGCACTGTGAGAGCAGGGCTGACACAGCAGGCCAGGGATTGAACCCTCGGCCCCTGCGTCTGCCTAAACAGGTGCTTTAATCCGCAGAGCTATTTGGCTAGCCCTAAAAGATTTCTTTTAAAGAAAAGAAAGATGGTCTTTTGAGAAGTCTTACTTTCAAAATAAAATCTGTATGCAATCTTATCTGAAATGTCTAGGGCTGGCTAAATAACTCAGTGGGCTAAGTGCTTGCTTTGGTAAGTGCAGGGACCAAGGCTTAATCCCTGGTCCCACAGGCCATGCTGGCCTTGCTCCTAGGAGTGATGAGCTGGTGACCAAGTCTGGCTGTGGGAGTGCTTGCCTGTAATCCTAGCACTGGGGAAGCTGAAAACAGAAGGCTCCCTATGAGACTGAGCTCTGAAGTGAGAATCTGTACCAAATACATAAAAAATGAAAAAAAAAAAAAAAAAGAAATGGCTAAAACTTTGGCTTAATTTTGTCTCTGAGGGGTTCTGCGCAGTCACCATGAGATTGGGCCCAGACAGCTGAAGATGAAGACACCCGTAGATCACCCAGGTCCTCCTTTCGCCAAGAGGAGTCTCGCTGGGGCATGGGATGTATGTCTCACTCCAGCCCACAGCCCATGGGAGCAGCTCTTGGGGTGACAGGACAAATGTGGGGTCTCCACGCCCACCCAAGGAGAGCTCCTTCGTGGCACCGGATCGGGTTCAGTGTCGGAGATCTGGAGTTGACCTCCTGCTGTTCAAACCCCTCCCCAGCATCTGGAATTTCCACTCGCCAGCTGACCCAGAAGGCTCAGTACTGACTTGGACTCTTAGGATAGGGGCTAACTACCTTAGCTCCCCAAAGGGAACCAGAACTTTCTCGTCCTGGGAACTTCAGCAAAGCCTGTGGGAGACCTAGATGGTGGCTCCAGCCAATGCGAGGCTTCCTTTAGTTGTGTCTCCTCCTGACAATGATCGCAGGTGGAAGAAGTCACTACTACATTAACAGCTAATTCTACCAGCCACAACGTTATCACACGTCACTTAACTTTCAGCCTCTTGCACACATGTGCACATCATATTCTGCGTCTCCCCCTCACAGAGAAGAAACCAAGTCCTAGGAAGGTTAAATAGCCCACGGGCACAAAGCTCATAAGTCTGACTTGAGCTTCGAAGCTAGGCTTATCCATCCTTGAGTTTGAATTCTTAGCCAGGCACGACTCCTCCTTAAAGGCCTGCTTCACTGAAAGGGGCCTCAGTTCAACAGTCCCTTTCCCTTAGTCAAATCACAAGGGTTCCTCTTTCAAACTTACAGAAGGAAAGAAGCTTTTCTAAATTTTCTGTATCCCCTCCTATCTTCCAAAGTCCACACTCCCTGGGAAGATAATTATATAATTGTCCCTTTCTCAGGCCTGTCATCTGTAGGGCATCATCTGATGGCTTAGGACAGCAATGCTGCCTACAGCACTTCCCCGGGAAGGTGACAACCCAGCCTCTTGGTAAGCACATCCTTAGTCTTTCCTTAACTGCTCTTTTTATTATGATGTTTTCATGTATTATGTCATGCTCCAAGTAAGATTACCATGGAAAACACCCCACGCACACATGCACACAGCCGCTGCAGTGTACGCAGTCCTCACTCTTTTCCAACCTTTGTTTTGGTGAAATCAAATTGTTTCTAAAGTATAAAAATATAATCATTCTCCCTTCTGTCGTGCGGCAGCTCGAGTGAGGCACCATTAGAAGTAATCTTCCCGCCCAATCATAAACGCGGGGGTAGTGTAGGTTCCCTCTCAACTGTAACACCCACAGCGGGCTCACTGGATGGACCCTACAGACTGATAATATATGGTAAGAATGCTGAGGTCCCTTTCAGTGAAGTAGCTTTAAGGAGAAATTGTGTGGCCAAAGCTGGCGCCGTGGTGGCCACAGTGTCCCTGTGACGCATTTCGAGGAGCAGCATCCTACACTAGATGTGTGACACAAAAGAGGCCCTGGGCTCAGGAAGGCTGACTCAAATGCTTGCACAAAACAAAGGGGAGCCCCCAATTTTGGCTTTGATACAGAGTTTTCACCTCGGGCCTAGTGACCGGCACTTGGCTCAAGCTGCTAGAGAGGTGAAGATCTGTGGGCTTCTCTGTGGCAGATGCACAGGACAATGGAGCTCAGGGAACCGATGGCATCTGAGAAGAATCATTGCGGCTGAAAATGCACGAGCCGAAGCTGGCTGCAAGTGGATTCTCTCGTGCTAGTATCAGAGCAGGAGCTATTCAGGAGAACAGCTCCACTGGAGGCCTGCGCCCCGCTCGTCAGTGAAGGCAGGAGGAGAAAGCACGGAGGCCATCGCTTCTCCTGAGGCAGGGCAGCAAGGGACTGCAGGCCTCCTGCTGGGAAGCTGACAGTAGGAGGCGGGTTTCCGGGGCCTGCTTTCGCTAATAAGTCATATCCTTTACTGTCCAGTAACTTGGAAGAGGGGCACTAGAGAGGCTTTGCCCTTACTGAGCAAAGACTGGAAACATCTGGGAGTGGGAGGCACCGGGGGGCCAGGAGAAGGGCGCAGAGACAGGTAGAGGGAGAAGAGCCCTGGGCCCGGGTTTGGATCCGGGAGGAGCCCGTGCAAGCCCAGGTGCCAACGGCTGGGCTTGGGCCGGCTGCCTGACACAGGCCGCACAGCCCAGTGGCGAGCTCCTCACATGCTGGGTGTAAATGGCCCACAAAGCCCGCTCCACGTGGAGCTGCTTTGTTCTCTTGTTGTCTTTTCTAAGTACGTGTGTGGGGCTTTTATTTCCTACTCACACCTTGGAGGCTCTTTCTTAGGGTCATACGCACCTCTGTCCAGTCTGAGAGGAGCCACTCACTGGGGCAGTCTTCCATCTTGCACTCTTGCTGGGAGGCTGGCTTGGAGGCAGAGCAGATGGTGTCAGGAAGCTCCAGAAAGCTGCCATCAGCCATGCGCTGCTTGCAAAGAACCTCACGTTTCTGAACACCTCCTCCACAGGTCCTGGAGCACTAGGGGGAGGAAGAGAAAGTGACTCGGTACAGAAGGGGGTCTGGCCTCCAATTTTCACCTTAGCCTAAGAACACTAAAAAAAAAGGAAAGACAAACCAGGAAGCAGGCCAAAGGATTTTGTTTCCTCTTTTGAAATAAATTTCCCAGCAAAACCTGCATGCCCTACAGTTTACTCCAGGTGTTCAACTTGAGCATGCAGGAATTTCCAGGGCACCAGACTCTTAGAAAATTGCTCCTGAACTATGATTTGTAGTCACTCAAGACAACTATGATTTGTAGTCACTCAAAGGTTAGGATAACAGAGCGCTCAACATATTTATGGCCTAGTGAAAATGATCTCCCCTGCTTCCTGAGTGAACAGGGATGAGCCCTGCCCGCAGAATCAGTCCGGAGCAGCGGCTCTGCAGAAGGAGCAGCCTTTCTCTCCAAGTGCACGCGCTCACTCTTCCACGCAGGGCAGCGTTAGATTAGGGCCTGCTTTCTGACAGACTCCTTCGGAATACTCTCCTTGCTGGGCTGGTGAGATACTGGGAAAATGAGTGCCAGAGCTGCTGGAATGTAGGGTACAAGAGAAATAGCCTCCTCGAGTCACTTGCTTCCAGAGAGGCCTTGAGAAAAGCACGGGTCATGTGTAATTTGGTTTTAATCCAGCGCCATGAGAGAAAGCAAAGCCCTGTGAGACACAGCCTCTGGGCCTTTCCAAGTACTCGTCTCCACAGGCAACCTCCCCCCACCCCCCAGTTTAGCTGGGCACAAGGCTTTTCAGCATAGAATGTCGCTGGCAAGCTCCCTTGGAGGCAGTTAGGGCCACTTGACTGAACACTTGTAATGGGATACAGACAGATGGGTTGTGTGCACAACAAGAGTATGGCCTCTCTTCTCTTCACTGGCTGGAAGGCACATGTGGGAAACTGCAGCCTCCTCCTTGGGTTGTGGAAGGCAAAAAGCTAGCAACTGCCTGGTTTCCCGATCATGAAACCACCACACCTGCCTGGACCGTGTTGTTTAGGTGCAAGAAATGCTTTTGCACCCCACTGCAGCCAAGGTCACCCGAGTTTCCATCGCTCGGCTGGTGCAGCCCCAGCTAGCGTGTGAGCGTATGCCTGCTCACTGCTGGAGCTAGCTTAGTGTGCTCCTTTAGAGCGTGTACTCTTTCTTCAGGAAGGCAACTTGCCTTCACTTGGGCTGAGAAACTGGGCCTGGGCTTAGAAGCCTGAGCCAGGCTTTGCAGGAGTGGCTCCTGCTGCAGGAGTGTTCCTCTCAGAGCCAGCCAGGGTACTTGTCATTTGGGTAGAATCACAGTCCAGGATCCTAGGGT